AAATTATCTTATGGAAGACGGACAATAGACGATACCCCTGCAAGGCCACAAGTCTGAACATACTTCTCCAGAATCTTTTGCTTCCCTTGTCTCTCATTGTCATGATATGCGCTAACTATATGTTCGTCCAGCAGGTTAATTGAAACTTTTGAACCCACTGCATACCAATAACCAAAAGACACTTAAATATAATGTTTGAGTCTGTAATAATAAAAACAGAACATCTCTAATTTTAGAGAACGTAATACATAAGCAAACAAGAAATCTAGATACAACAGATGTAAAAATTTTAAAGACTGCACTATTCTGTTTCCATCTCTCTGTGTGTCAGTTCATTTCTCTCTCTCTCTCTCTCTCTCTCTCTCTTATTTATTTTGTGGGGTGGTTGAAAACTGGAACTTTCTCCAGATTGATATATAATGCCAATCCAAAACGGAGATAGAGACAGGCTGCCCCTTTGCTATTGTCTCTTGGATACAAAAACAATCGTAGCCATGAAAACAGAATCAAAAGGATTTACCTTATATTGGTTCAGAAACAAACAGACACACATATATTCAGAAACGGACAAGTATACAATATAAAGGAGAAAATTCTATATATTGAATCATAGAACGAAAACTAACAACAGAAAATTCCAGCAGACTATGATCCGAGTTTGTTACTTCTGTTTTAGACACACATACATTTATAAATATAATCCAAAAGTGGGCTTAAATACCTTTTAAAAGGCGAATTTTAGGTGGTGAAATGCATATAATCAACCCCATTACTACATAACTAAAAGATTACAAACACAATTTTAACTATCAAGACCAGAAACAAACAATAAAGTTCAACATCTAAAACCAATCAAAACATATACTAAGATCTCACATCCCTTAAATATAAAAACACTAATCTAACGAGTCTTAGAATATTTGCTCATTAACCTTTTAAGATGAACCCAGTACTCAGTAAACACGCAGAAGAGAAAAAGAAAATATAGCCCAGCAAAAATGGTACTGACTCATGGGTATCATCCGAGCAGGCTGATGAACATGAAGAATACAAATTTTCCTTCCTCTGGAATTGTGCAAAGCCCACATGAGAACTTTTTCATCCTTCTTCACATCTTTTCCTAAAGCCACAAACACTGTGTCATCCTCATCAACTTGTGGTGTAGATGGAGTTTGTAGTTCCAACTCCGTAATTTCTCTCATCGCAATGTTGTTCTTCTCCAAATTCAGCGTCAAGAATCAATTTCTGGGTGCCTACTTTTTTTCATGAGCAGTAGAATTTCAAACAAATCCATCAAATTGATGGGAGAACAAAAGGGTTATTAGGAACTATTCAGAATTTGGATTTGAATTTGACTGTTAGTCATGGTCGATTTTGAAAAAGAGGTTACTTGTCCGGATGTGTATGCCGTCTAGCGTATGAAATACACAATTGCATATGGAAGAATGGTTACTGGTCAACTAAGCTCTCACTGCTGTCGCTAGACAGAAAGTCAAATTCCTTAATAACCAAGAAGCTTCGTTGAACTCGAGGCAATTTTGCTGAGCTATTGTATAGTAATTTACTTCTTTGATTTGCTTCGACTTCGAGGATAAATCTAGTCAAGAATTGAGTATTTTCATTCGACGGACAACAAAACGCAGCCCTTGCCCCCCCGAATAAAATAGGAATCTTTGAAGATTTTGCATATATGTCATTAATATGAAAATACATCAAATATTTATCACTTTTTCAAAATTTTGCAAAAATATCATTTTTTTTTAAATACGAAAAGTCCAATTTACCATTTTCATTTGTTTTTTTAATACATTTAATACGCATTTAATATCAAGATTTTTAAACAGCAACCAATGAAATCAAGTTATTACATGATGGATAATAGATTTGTTCACAAAAAAAAAAAAAAAAATCGTTTCCTAACATTAATAGTTAACTATTTTTGATTACCCGACTTTACAATATAATTTGATTCACCGATGATAACATTATTTATGATATTCATGTTATTACCATTAATCATTTAAGTCGTTGAACATATCATTCAACTACAAGATACATTGGGAATAATATAGACTGACAGTTGAAATGTGACATTTTGGCCAACGTGTATTAAACAAATTCTTCTGTAATAGTAATTTGTTCAAACTACTTGAAGCTGCATATTCATACATCTCTTTTGAAATTGGGAAGATTGAAAACAATACATGATAGATAATTGTGCAATTCAATTTCATTAATCTGTAATGCATTTGGTGCGACTATTTTCTTGACATGATTCGGTAATTCATTTTCGTTAATCGA